GCCAGAGACAAGCCAGCAGGGTTTACTGAACTGAAGCTAACCCCGAAACACCTGCTGCAGGGGCTTTACAATTCCCCCTCCCCAATACTCCTTGGCCTCCAGCTCATGACCATCAAACCTTTACACCAGCCCGTGCTTTTAATTTAGGTTAAAGTTTGGCTTTAGTTAACCCTCCCCTCCTCCTAAATTGACTTCTTCAGAAAACACTCGGGCCTGGAGCAAATTCGACGTGCTAGACGACATTAAGGGTGTTGCTTTTCTTCCCGGCTTGTTTAAGAGGCGGCTTTGTAAGCCGGTGCATTTGCGGGAAGGACAGACAGAGGCGGGAGGCGGGCGCTGGGGCTGGGGCTGGGGCTCCCCCGCGCAGCCCCGGGCAAGACGCAGACACAGCGTGACCGAGAGGTGCAGGCAGGTGGCCCGGGCACGTCAGCGGCCGGCAGAGCCACCCCCTTCATCCTCCCCTCGGTTTAGGCCCGGATTTCGCACAGCACAAACCCTGGCTCAACTCCTCGCTCCAAAACGTTGCATTTACTCCTGCCGAGGTATTAGCTTTGCTAAACAGAGCGGTTGTCGCAGACGCCCGAAGTTAAGCACGTGCTCAGCGAGGCAAACCTACTGTCCTCGAGGCGAGCCGTTCCCAGCCCCGAGACAGGGAACAAGCCACAAGCAGGGGCTCCCACAAAGCGCCGTCCTGCCCCTGCCCGAGCCCTTCCCCCGGACGAAGGCTGCCCGGTTGCTCCCGGAAGGGGGGTGGCCTCCTCCCCGGCTCTCATTGAGCTGATCGCCCTGCCCTGGGCTTCGCAGCTCTCGAGCCATAGGCCCGGGGCGGGAGTGTCTTTTTGCCCCCCCCCCCCGCTCCAGTGGGCAGCGGGCAGAGAAGCAGCGTCTCCCGCGCCGGGGCAAGCAGCGGACCGGAGCGCACTCGGTGGCAGCGGGACTGGGTGCCGGGCCGCGGGGGAGCCCCCAGCCAAGGCCGGATCCGCTCCACAGGAGTAGCCCGAGCTTCACACCTGGCCAGAGGCGCGGGTTTGGGCATCGACTCGAGTGACAACAGCACGAGCGCGCGCGGGAGCAGCCAGGGGAAATGCCTTTCTGGAAGACGAGCCAAAACAAAAGCCCTGCAGGGTTTAGCTCCACCCAGAAAGAAGAGAAGAGATGCGCTTCCAAACTGCGCTTCCAGCAGCACGCGCAGCGGCATTTCTGCTCAGCAAGCTAGCGAGGGGGCCTTATTGTGTAGCCCAAATACACAAATTGAATAAACTGGAGTGCTTCAAAACGGGTACAAAGATATAAACCCGAAAAACAAACGCTAAAGAAAACCCAAGAGAAAAGAAAAACAAAACGAAACCAAAAAAATCTCACACAGCACAAGTCCCAAAGCAACGGGCAGCCTCGTGGAAGCGCGGGGCGAGAGAAGCTTCCGCCTCCGCCTGCACCTGCGCCTGCACCGGGCCGGCGGGAAGGTGTCGCCAGCACCTAGCGACCACCCGCTGCCTGCTCCCAGTCCCGCCGTTCAAGTCCTCCCGCGAGCCAAGCGTTTATCGCCAACAATTCGGGGAGAGCGGAGCTGATATTCAGCCTGCCACAAATTCAGCCCTGGTCGTAAGAAACCCGGTTTTCTCCTCTCACCGTAACACTGGACGGGTCAGGATTCAGAAGACCGCAACTGCGCCGCGAAACCGCGCTCTGCCCGCACGTGCGCCCTGAACGCAACCGCCGCAAAGCCAGGTTACTTACGTGTCATAATTGTCTCGGAAGCCTTTTGCGAAAGGGTTGTGATCTATCTTCAGCTGCGTGATCTAGGGAGAGGAGAGGCTCCGTGAGTACTCCTCACCGGCAGGCACGGTGAAAAAGCAGGAGCATTTCTATTATACTACAATAAGCACATTTTTTAACGCAGGGTTTCCAGTTCCTTTATCTCAGCGTCTCAAATTGCCCCTCTTCAAAATTAAAATCACAACAACAACTATAATTACAACAACAACATCGTTTACGAAGATGTAAGGAAAGGAGAATTTAAGCTCCTCTTCCATTCGTTCTCAGCAATTACTGATACCAATGAGACATATTTTGATTCGACATTTATTAATAGGAATCTAAAAACAAATGTAAAAAAAAAATTAAGATGCCAGATCAGAAATAATTACTACTTCGAGTTGTTTTATGTAGTATTAGGAGAGATGATCTAAGCACCGGGCACAACAATTAAAAGCTAAGCAGACAGGTTTAACATCTACCGTCCGGAGTGAGGGCAAAATAAAAAAAAAAAAGAGGAAGAAAGAAAACCAACCCCCCAGCACCAACACCCAAACAAAACCCTTCCCCAGGCACTGGCGAGACCCCGCACCCCGAGCGCAGGCAGCGGCACGAGCAGGGGCTCTTTTCAGACGTGCTTGAAATCCGCCCAGGAGAATTAGAGCCGGTCTTTCGGCAAGGAGGTAATAGCTATGGACAATTATCGTGTCCTGGAAGTGCCAATAGGGTTTCCTCTCGGTCACCCTGGGACAGATTCATTACGGACACTGATGAATGTTTCGACCTAAGGGAGTATTTAGTCTCCGGCCCTTGCACCAGACTAAACAGCGTCTGGGACAACCGGGGCAAGGGGAAGGCTTCGAGATCTGAACCCAGACGACTGCTAGTGTCGAGGGTTTGGGGCTCGCGGCTCTTGCTGGTCCCAGCAAAGGGCACAGCATCGTAACTTGGCCAAATAAATATCCCGACTCCTGTAGGTTTGGGACAGGGGACAGCGTCCCCCGCCAGGGCGGGCGGGCGGGAAACGGCCTGCCCTGCTCGGAGCGCTGCTGCCGCCCGGGGGGCTCCGGCGCGGGTGCAGGAGACGCCTGGCTCCTTACATCCGTGTTCTGGTAGGCGGTGACCGCTATGAACTGGGTCTCGGGGAAAGTGAACGTCTGCACTCGGCCCGGCTGGTTGGTGTCCTCTGTCCCGTCTTCATTCACCTCCACCACGTGCAAGCGGGGCTGGTACTTGTGCAAGGACTGCAAGACCACCATCTGTCAGGCAGAGAGAGGGGAGGGGAGCCGGGGAGAGAGCCGCATCAGAGCCAGGGCAGGGGGAAACACTGAGCGCGACTGAAGCGCCGGGAGGAACAGCCACGGCCGCCGATCCCTCCCCGAGAAGCAGGGCGAAGCGCAGCCCTCTCCCGGCCGGGATTTCCCCCTGCTCGGCAGTGCGGTCAGAGGCTGCGCTTCCCCGCCCGAGCCTGCGACGCGGCTAAGGAGAAAGCTGGGGCCGAGCTCGGTCCTCAGGCAGCGCCGGGCCCCACTGACCTGCCCGTTGTTGTTGGAGGCTCC